GTCACTTAGAGCAGCCGGCTTCCGTCCCCAGGCAGAGGACACTCTCGCGAGGGCTGAGACTCAGCCTGGGACTCGCGCACCAGCCTGAACGAGGAAGGTGCAGGGATGTGCGTGCGTACATGTGTGTGAGTGTGTGTGTGAGTGTATGTGTGTATGAGTGTGAGTGTGCATGTGAGTGTGGGTGTGTGTGAGTGTGCATGTGAGTGTGCATGTGTGTGTGTAAGTGTGAGTATGCATGTGAGTGTGAGTGTGCGTGTGTGTATGCATGTGTGTGTGCATGTGTGTGATTGTGTGTGTGAGTGTGCATGTGAGTGCATGTGTGAGTGTGCGTGTGTATGCATGTGTGTGAAAGTGTGAGTGTGTGTGTGAGTGTGCATGTGTGTATGCATGTGTGAGTGTGCATGTGTGTATGCGTGTGTGAGTGTGCATGTGTGCATGCATGTGTGTGAGTGTGCGTGTGTGTATGCATGTGTGTGAGTGTGCATGTGAGTGTGCGTATGTGTATGCATGTGTGTGTGAAAGTGTGAGTACGTGTGTGAGTGTGCGTGTGTATGCATGTGTGAGTGTGTGCGTTTGTGAGTGTGCGTGTGTGTATGCATGTGTGTGTGTGTGTGAGTGTGTGTGTGTGTGAGTGTGCGTGTGTGTATGCATGTGTGTGAGTGTGCGTGTGTGTGCATGTGGGTGCGTGTGTGTGCGCGTGTGTGTATGCATGTGTGTGTGTGTGTAAGTGTGAGTGTGTGTGTGTGTGTGTGTGAGTGTGCGTATACACTCAGACATAATTTAAAAATTAAGGCTGTCCTCTGCTGGAATGTTTGGTACGGGGCATAGGGTGGAAGAAAGAAGCTACTTTTTTGCCTTTTAGGGAATGTTTGTCCCTTTGGTAAAATAAAGTCGTTACTTTGCCAAGGTAAGTTTAGGGGGGATTTACTCCCCCCTGGAAACAATGGAAACCATTAATGAAAAGACACAAGATCAACAGGCAATGTGAAGCCCCCGTTGCCGGGGTTAACAGCACAAGCTGCCTGTGCTTCTAGGATGCTCCCCCTCAATAACAAGCTATTTAAAAATAGCATGCTTCTGGGTCTTCCTCGCCTAAATCCACATGGGGAAAAGTAATAGCCTCATACAAGTGTCATTAAGCTGTCCACAGCTGTTGGGAGCTAGAGCCGAACCCCCTGGTTTTTGCTGACCGAGGTACCTGGCTGGGGGTTTGTTCTGGTTCTGCAGAGACCACTGCCCATCCCCCATAGCTTGGGGTTAATTTACTAGAAGTCGTCGGGTATAGGGTAATTGGAAGAAAGGAACGCAATGGATACCAGCGTGATCCGTCACATCCCTGCCTCTCCTATTTTGTGGCGCAGGGACATCAAGAGGGAAAATGCGTCCCTTATCAGTGCTTAGAGTCACCCCCCGGCCAACTCCTGCATTTCCATAAAAATTTGGCATCAGGGTCTTCTGGTAAAACTCCCAGCTTCTATGTATCCGGACGGTTGCCTTTGTACCAGCGCAGGACTCCGTGCCTCTGAAGTGTTTAGTACGTTTCTACTGCAGCCACAAAGCAGTAGAGCCGCTTTCATAAAATGAGCTCCCGCGCGTGGAGGAAGCGGCACGGGCGCGTCCGGCCGCGGAGGTCTGTGAGAGTACGCGAGGCTCCTGCCTTGGAGAGAACAGACCTGCCGCCCCCCTTCCCCGTCCCAGCAGGAAACCTTAACTCAAGGCAGGCGACAAACCCACGCGTTCTCGGCGCGTTTGTCCTGGTTTGCAGTCACGCGTGTATTTGCGCCATGGCCGCGGGTCTCCTCGCTGGGTGCTCAAGGCCCCGAGGGCTTTTCTGTCTTCCCTGCCCTGAACCCCAGTGCCCGGCGGTGCCTGGCGCAGGGGTGCTCGCTAAGAGCCTGTGGGCGGAAGGAAGGCGTGGAGGGCAGGAAGGGAGGACAGAAGGGAGGAAAAAGGGAAGGAAGAAAGAAAAGAAGTAGCCAGTGAGAAATGTTCCAAGTGGAAGGATTTTTTTTTTTTTTACAAACCTACTAATAGGACATAGGTTTACTTGTAGTCTTTTCTCATACATAAAATGGAGATAAGTACTATTATCCCACTAATTATTGGTATTTGCTAACTCAAATAGTTGCTTTGTAAGTTATTTGCCAGCCATTTGCCAGCTAAACTCAGGGCAAAACTGTGGACGATAGGACCTGCTTTGCTGGATTATTGAGATTATTAAATGAGAGTCATTTTGTGTCAGGCAAGGGAGGCCCTGCCTTGGGCCCACGCATTGGAGGGTCTCGCTCTTGCCGCCCTCTGGCTGCGCCCCTCCCCAGGTGCCAAGTCTCAGCGGGACTTACGCCCAGGCCCCCTCCCTGCCCTGGGTGTCTGTGTGGCTTCTCCCCTGACAGTCACCCGGGGTTCCAGGACAGGTATGTGTGCCCTAGGCCCAAGGAGGGCCCAGGGGTGACCGTTGGCAGGGGACAGGATGTGCAGGTGGAGCTGGGGGTGTCTACACGTGTGTGCTTGAGACCACGTGTGTGGAATCGAGCTTGGGGTGGAGTGAGGGAGAAAAAGGGAGGAGAGAGCCGTGGGTCAGAGCGGAAGCCACCTGTCCCTGTGAGGCCAGGGTGCAGGGCGGAGCCCCAGGGCCTGGGAGTTCTAAATTCCAGCCTGGACCCCCAGGTCATTGTGAAGGAGCGTTGGTCAAGGCAGGGGGTTAGAGCCTCCTGCGACAGCCCTGTTCGGCGGTGGATGGCTTCATTTGTAACTTTCGGAAACTTCGACACATGGTACGTGGGCGAATGTTAGGAATACACACACATGTATACATGTGTGTATGTGTATGTATATGTGTGTGCATCTATGTATATTACATGATACCTTGACGATTAAGAGGGAGGGAAGGAAGACCCTGACTTTGGACAGCCTGGGTCTGCTGCCATTTGCCAGCTAAACTCAGTTTCCTCAGGGCAAAACTGTGGGCGATAGGACCTACTTTGCTGGATTATTGAGATTATTAGATGAGAGTAATTAGCATGGTCCTGGAGTATAATCGATGCTCCATAAATACTACAAACTGTTTCCTGGCCTTTCTGCTTCATCCACGAAAGCATGGATGTCTTGTCTCATTAAACATTTATTTCTAGGCTGGAGATTAAGCCTGCCATGTGATAATCAGCCAAATGTCCTTATTGCAAACTCTTCTTGCACCACGGGCCTCCCCTACACGGCACTGGTCACGGTCGCAGTTTTACGCAGACGCGTGCCTGTGATGTCATGGATGCCGCCCTCGCTTCTAGATGGCACGCGGTGCCCGGGCAGGGCCCGAGTCTCCCTCTAGCCGGCTGTCTCATTCCAAGTCCCCAGCCCGGTGCCCCAGGTCAGGCACTCCAAGTACTTGTTTAAAGGATGAGGACCAGGCCTGGCCCGGTGGCTCACGCCTGTAATCCTTGCACTCTGGGAGGCCGAGGCGGGAGGATCGCTTGAGGTCAGGAGTTGGAGACCAGCCTGAGCAAGGGCGAGACCCTGTCTCTACTGAAAATAGAAAAATTAGCCAGGAGTCCTGGTGCACACCTGTAGTCCCAGCTACTCGGGGTCTGAGGCAGGAGGGTCGCTGGAGCCCAGGAGTTTGAGGTTGCTGTGAGCGAGGCTGATGCCACGGCACTCTATATACAAGGCGACTGAGTGAGACTCTGTCTCAAAAAATAAATAAATAAAAGGACGAGTGCCGATACCAAAGTCTCATGTGATCTTGGCTCTATTCCTGAGCTTAGTCAGCCATGTACCACTGACATTATACTTTTTTTTTTTGCCTGGCCTGAGAACCAACTGTAAAGTGATTCATCTACCATTTTAGTTCAAGTTGACTTCCTTTCAAAGCATACATGTCAGCTTCAGGTTGTCCCTAGCACAGTCACCATGGTTTCCAAGGGGCGCTACGTAGTCGTCCCCTGATACGGGAGGTGGGCTGGTTCCAGGGCCTCTAGGGACACCCATGTCCCGGACGCTCAGGCCCCTCGTATAAAGCCTCGCAGGTAACCGGCACGAGTCCTCCCTTTCACTCTAGGGCAGGGGTCCTCAAACTGTTTAAGCAGGGGGCCAGTTCACTGTCCCTCAGACCGTTGGAGGGCCGGACTATAGTTTAAAAAATAAACTATGGGCCGGAGGCCGTGGCTCACGCCTGTAATCCTAGCACTCTGGGAGGCCGAGGCGGGCGGATTGCTCGAGGTCAGGAGTTCAAAACCAGCCTGAGCAAGAGCGAGACCTTGACTCTACGATAAATAGAAAGAAATTAATTGGCCAACTAATATATATAGAAAAAATTAGCCAGGCATGGTGGTGCATGCCTGTAGTCCCAGCTACTCGGGAGGCTGAGGCAGGAGGATTGCTTGAGCCCAGGAGTTTGAGGTTGCTGTGAGCGAGGCTGACACCATGGCACTCACTCTAGCCTGGGCAACAAAGCGAGACTCTGTCTCAAAAAAAAAAATTAATATTAACAAAAAAATAAACTATGAACAAATTCCTATGCACACTGCACATATCTCATTTTGAAGTAAAAAAAAAAAAACAAAAACAACAGGCAAAAACACCCGCATGTGGCCCTCGGGCCGTAGTTTGAGGACGCCTGCATAAATCATCTCCAGATTACTTCCAGATACCAAATACAATGATGTACTTGCTATGTGAATAGTCATGATACTTTGTATTGTTTTTTAATTTACATTGTTTTTACTGTTGTATTGTTTTTATTTTTTAATATTTTCAAGCCACAGTTAGTTGAATTGTTGGGTGTGGAACCCGTAGGTAAGGGGGGGGGCAACTGTACTAATAACATTTTATAATACAGTTAAAATAAATATGTAATAATTAAACCCAAACGGGATCGTCCCTGTACTTCTCAAGGCCATGTACAGTCAGGGGCCGTGTCAGTCACACCTGGGGGAGCCCGCTGTGGTACGATGTCCCTCGGTGCAGCTTTTCTTTCTATAGGTCTCGCCCTAGATGATTTCCACCATTAGGGTCCTGTTCGCAAAGCCCTTCCTGTACTCCAAAATTACGAGGACAGTCCCCTGCGTTCCATTCGGTTCTCCCTACAATTTAACTTTTGAAACTTAACTCTTTAACCCGCCTGGAATTTATCCGGGTGTATACCGTGAGGTCAACAACGACAACAACAAATCCGACCTGATATATTTCTTCCAGAAGGCCAATTATATTAGCACCATTTTCGGAACGATACGGTTGCACGTACATTTTAGTACAACGATAGCTGTAGAAATTTTAATAAATAAAATTGCAGATTTGCTTTATTAGCATAAAAAAATTATATTAGCTAAAACTTCAATAGCACTTTTGACGTAATTTTTATCGTTTTAACTGAAATGCATGGGAAAAAATTTTATCATGAAATTAAACCATGTGGTAGTTCAAAGTTACCTGTGAGACTATCCTGGCTGTATTTAATTAATCAGCATCTTGATTTTGGGGGTGATGTTTACTATAGGCACAAATTCTTCAGGCTGTTAAAGTATTTCTTGCTTTTTAAAAAAGTTATGAGAACAGGGAAGGTGTGATCATATAAAGCATTTAAAAAGAGTAAGGGATTTTTAATATTTTCCCACTCTACACTATTTATCTTGGAGGCGCCGTCTCGCTCTGCCGCCCAGGGTGGGGGGCGGTGGCTCCACAGTAGCTCGCTGCAGCCTGCAACTCTGGGGCTCAGGAGACAGCTCTGTGTTCTACCACTTACAAGACTGCCGGGAAAACAAACCCTCATTCCACCAGACTCTGCACCTGGCTGGCACAAAGGAAGGGCCCGTATTAGCCACCTGAGTGGGGACTATCATTCCCATTCTACAGATGGGAAAACCAAAGCTCCGAAGTGAAGTGACTAGTTGAATGTCAACAGACTAACTGAAGAAAGCTCAAGTGTCACCACTCATCAGATTCACCTGTTTACCACCCTCCGCAGGTGTCCGCTGGTTAAGCGTGCGCGCACCTGGGCAGTGAGCTGGGCCACGCCACCTGCAGGCAGCTCTCAGCTTCCCGGAGTTCCCACCTCATTCCGGCATCTGTCTTCCCGGGAACCTCCACCCAGGTACCGTCCTGTGTAGCCAAAGAACACGCCTCCTGGGCCTGGCGCGGCGGCTCGCGCCTGTAGCCCTAGCACTCCGGGAGGCCGAGGCGGGCGGATCGTTTGAGATCTGGAGTTCGAGACCAGCCTGAGCAAGAGTGAGACCCCCGTCTCTACCAAATATAGAAAGAAGTTAATTGGCCAATCTAAAAATATACAGAAAAACTTAGCGGGGCATGGTGGCGCATGCCTGTAGTCCCAGCTGCTCGGGAGGCTGAGGCAGGAGGATCGCTTGAGCCCAGGAGTTGGAGGTTGCTGTGAGCGAGACTGATGCCACGGCACTCTAGCCCAGGGAACAAAGTGAGACTCTGTCTCAAAAAACAAACAAAAAAAAAAAGCAAAGAACACGCCTCCTGCTGTGCGCTGTTTCGATATCGGAAGGTTACAGGTTGCCTCCATCGTGGTGGCCCCATCCCAGCTATGGTTGCTTCGAACCTCTATTTACTGAGCACTTGTGACTATGAGGCTCTCTCTCTCTTATTTTATGACTATTATTTTAATCTCATTGTCATCCTCAAGCCTGAGAAATATTTTCAGGCCTCTGTCTAAAAAGCCAGAGATCCTTCAATGATGTCCCTGGCAGCGCGATTCTGAGTCTTTTCACGGTCCCGACTGGCTCCGCACGCACACGTTTCTCTTTGAGACGGGCAGCCGAATTCAGGGTGGGGGACTCGCTGGAGTCCGATGCCAGTCCCAACTCTTCCCAGAAGCGTGGCCTCGGGGAGAGTCCATTTGCAGACGTGGTCACCGCATCTCGCGGAACGCTGTGGGAAGCAGACGAGAAAGCGTCGCCAGGTGTTTCGTGCCCTGCCCGACGGTGGCAAGGCGCAGCGCTCGTCGGGTTTGACTTCCACGTCGCGGGTGTAGACCCCTGCTGCCAGCGCCTCCCCTGTGCCCCCAGGCGGGGATGTGTGGATCCTGGAGGCGTGCCGGTTCCGCCATGGGACAGGGGAGCGGGCAGGAAGGGGCAGAGAGACTGCCTCTAACCAGCCGGCGCCACCGCCCGCTTCCCCCCTGCCTGGGTTTGGGGGGCGACTGTCTCAGCCACCGCTCGGGCTTGATGCCGGCAGTGCGGGCTGCGAGACTACCCCACAGCCCGGCCCGTCGCTCAGACGGGGTGCACCAGGGGCAGTAGCAGGCTTCCTTACGTTATAAAGCAACAGAGCTCATCGCCCCGCTCTGCCACCTGGCTCCGGACAGCCTTCCAGGGTGACTCGGCCATTCCCCACGCCGGCCTGCAGTTTGCTCCCCGCCAGGCCAGACGAGGGTGTCGGGCCACACACTCCCAAACATCCTGTGAGTCTACCCTTCTGTGGTTCTCGTCAGTTTTACAGATGGGGTCCAACCTGAGACTTTGGGAAAGGAGTCAACTGTAAAAGATGCTTGAATTCCACTCATCTACTTTACGCCGGCTCAGGAAGAAGAAACGGTACCTTCTGCCTCAACGTTGTGAGTTCCCAGGCTCCTTGAATGTTCACGTACCTGAGAGATTTTTCTCACTTCTTTCTCATATCGCAGAAGGATCATTACTGATGACTAAAGTGATGTTTACATTTTAAAAGTCAAGCTACTTTTAAGGAACCACAGAAATGCATGCTAGGATTCGCTTTAGATTTTCTATTTCTTCTATTGATAGCAAGGATCGGGACAGGCTAGCAAGTGCTTTTCATTTTATTGGGCCTTTTTAGCAGTATTTAATTTTTAAAACTAAGCGTGCATTGCTTTTAAAAAGCAGTTGAATAAAGATGTATGTTCAGAACTTGAAATACATAAAAAAGTGAAATGAAAATAAGATTGTGATCCCACTACTTAAAGAATCACCATCGTTAAAACTCGGACGCGTTTCTTTCTATCCTATTCGTTCGCTGTTTCTAATGCTTATGGAGTGTTTAGTCACACATGCACCCACGCGCACACAACCCTCGGCTCCTCTTTTGTTCACTCAACATAAGGGGACCATGCCCCACGTTATTAAAATATTTTTAAAAATACGTGCGTGTCGTTACATGTGTTCTGTGTCACACACACGTTAACAATGTGAAGACGAAAGAAGAACATCAAAAATCAAAGTGCTCTCACGTCCCCTGGCACATGTGATTTTATGACCCCGTGTGAGGAGCAGGCCGGGAAGTGTTTCCAACTTCCAGCTGGGAGTGCAGAGCTCAGAGACGGGAAGGGACTCAGAGCTGGTTCAGACCACAGGCCAGGGTGCTGCCGCCGGCAGAGTGGCCCGGGCATGATAACGAGGCTAGGATTTGCTGGGCCTGAAACTTGTATCATTTTAGGGGTTCTCCTTTTTTTTTTAGAGACAGAGTCTCACTCTGTTGCCCCAGGCTAGAGTGCCGTGGCGTCAGCCTCGCTCACAGCAACCTCAAATTCCTGGGCTCAAGCGATCCTCCTGCCTCAGCCTCCCCAGTAGCTGGGACTACAGGCATGTGCCACCATGCCCGGCTAATTTTTTCTATTATATTTTTAGTTGTCCAGCTAATTTCTTTCTATTTTTGGTAGAGACAGGGTCTCATTCTTGCTCAGCCTGGTTTCGAACTCCTCATCTTGAGGGGGATCCTTCCACTCGGCCTCCCAGAGTGCTAGGATTACAGGCGTGAGCCACCGCGCCCGGCCTAGGGGTTCTCCTTAATGAACAGAATAAAAACCTTACTCTTGAAAATTTTACTATTTTCATGCATCACCAGGACGTCTCCCCAGGCCTCGGACGGCCCCTCTCCGTGGGGAGTCCTGCCGCTCCGGCCTCATCTGCTGGGGTGAGCCTGCCCTGCTTGGGCGCTGCCACTTCTTTTCATCTGTGCAACGTGGTAACGAAAGCACTTGCCTCCAAGTGGTTCTGAGGATTAAACATGATGCGCTGGCGCAAAGCATGTGAGAAACTGCCCGGCCCATAGTAAGTGCCTGACATTACCTGCCAGTCCCAGTTTCATTCAAAATCATGTCGTTGTGGCTGGAGTCGCTTGAGCTGCCTCCCAGGGACTGGGTCATTCATGTATGTACTCAAGGAAATTACACCTTCAAGGCTTTTCAACCCGGCCCACTCATTCAGTCAACAGCCACTGCTGAGTTCCTACCTCCATGCGGTACCTGTGCGGGCCCCAGTCCCGGCTCGCACACGGCGTCCTCTCCCTGGGGGTCCTCCCGGGACGCTGGGCCCAGACTCACCATTACCCAGGCTCTTGCTCCGAGCTGGGACTGGGCTTGCACATGACCAAGGACGCCCCGGCCCTGTCCCATCACCTTGTTCATGTCTGTGCCATCAACACTTTCTTCTGTGCCTACAATAAAGTCAGAAGGTGCTCAGCATTACCAAATGAGTTGACTGCAAGTGTGCCTGTCGTCAAAGAGGATTTTAGTTTCTTTCGCCAGCTACTTTTCCTTTGCAAAAGCGGGCAGGATGTGTGCAAGACATGACAGTTTGAGAACTCTGGAAACAAATACAAGGTTGTCTTATTGTCAATCTGGTTTTTGTGTGGTAACTTTACCTCTTCTTACTTTATGACAACTGAAATGCGCTATGGCGCTACCGGACCACAATCTGCAAGCTTCTCTCTCATGGTAATAATAAAAATAAAAAAAAAAATCACATGGCCACATCCACATCGGGAAGTCCTTAGGGAACGTGTCTCGTATCAGGAAAAGTAGTTAAGCTCTGGGGTCCTGAAGGAGCCTGGGAAAGTCTGACCAGAAACTATGGTTTAGGGTGTATGATCTGTTTAAACACACGACTGGACTTTGCAAATTTTACAACGTCTTGGCTTATTAAAGCCATTAAGTGAGAATTAAAATTTTTGCATTGTGACTTTTGTAAGAGCAGTCAAGTGTCAGAAAACACCCTGACCAGTCGGTAATGGATACAGGTGAGGCGACGGGAAGTGGCAGCTGCATCTGCCCAGTACCGGGCAGTTTGCGGCCAGTCACCTTCTGCAGTCACCGGCCGCCTGGCCAGCCCCGCCCGGGAAGGAGGTGGGATGCTGTACGTGTGGCACCCTTCCTTCTGCACAGACAGCACCGAACAACAGCCAGGACCTGGACCCCGACCTGTCAGACCTCCTACCTGGACCCCGACCTGTCAGACCTCACCCCCTCCCATACTCTCGGGGGTGGGGGGGTGGGGGGGGAACCTTCGATTTTGTGGGTGTCTTCAGAACACCAGGCTGACCTCCTTGCAGGTTTTACTGAAGTGTCCCAGTCTCTGTGGGGTGAGCCGGGCGCAGGGAACATCACAGCTGGGTCAGGATTGGCGGCTTCCCTGAATCCCTGCGGTCAGGGTCTCAGCTTAACCGTCCTGTGGCTGGGATGTGCGAGCTCACTGCGCAGCTGCAGCTGCCGCCAAGTACAGCACCTGCCTTCGCCATCTAGCAGGGAAGAATGACATTAAACGTGTCTCCTTGGCGAAGTGTTGCATTCACCTTCCTGGGAACGACCCAGAGATCTCCCCCCCCCCATCCCCAGGGACTCCTCTGAAACATCCAATCCTCTACATTGAAACTAATTTCAGAAATAACCCATGTGGAGTCTCATCACTGCACATGTGTTAGGGAGGAAGGAGTTATGGCAGGTCTGAAAATATCTGTAGCCAAGCTCCTCGGCACAAGCAACCTCCTCCACCTCCCCAGCCCCGGGAGGGGGGCTCTCCACGCCCCATTTACCTGTGCCCCATGATTCCTCCTCAGCTGAGGAACAACTTTACCTTCACCGTGTTCTTTTAAAAAGAAACCTCTGTAGGCCCAATCGGAAGGCAGTTAAATTCCTAGGAACAGAGCTGGGAGGCCAGAAACTAGCCATTGTGTGGCAGCCTTCCGAGTGCCAGCGCGCTTCCTACCTGCTCCTGTCCACAGGCCCTGCGAGAGGGTACCAGGCTGGGCCCCGTCTGCCGCCCTGCCCAGCCAGGACCTTTACTCGGACCTCTCCACCTCGGCAATTTTCAAATCAGTTGGACTCCAGGTCCGTACACTTGGTCAGAGGAATGCAGGAAACCCGTGCCGAGCCCTGAGCGGCGGCTTTCCAGCGGGACCCGGCCCACCCTCCCACCTGCCTCCTCCCCAGCGCACATTCCCGTCTAAGAAACGCGCCCGCCAGGCGCAGGGAAGCTGGTGCAAACATCCTGAGGACATAACCCCTGTACTGGCTTTTAAACCCCCTTTCCCCAAGGCGATAATCAGCACCTCTTGCCCCAGACAGCTCCAGGTGAGCAAGCAGGGAGGGGATCACCTTCCCGTCATCAAAGTAAAGGCGTCTGCGGAACGGAGCCGTCCGCTGATGACCAAGTGCGCCCCCACCCACGGTCACATTTGATTTTGGGTAGCGCAGGTATTATTCCCCCCCTTTTACAGGCGGGGAACCGAGGACTAGGGCGCTCACTCTTCCCGGGGTCACGCCAGGAGCGCTGCGGGGAGCCCCCGCCTCTAACCCCGGGATGGCCCCGAGGCACCACGAGGTCTCGGAGAAAGACCGTGAGCCGCAGCGGCCACATGGCCCATTGTCCCCAGCAGGCGCCCCGCTGGGGGACGTTGGCCGGCCGCTCGGGACAGCGGCCCGCGGCGGGGAGCTCGGGCGCGGCCGGCCGGCTCCGCGAACAAAGGCGGGGAGCGCGCGCGGGGCCCGAGGGGGCGTCCGGCGGGCGCGCGGCGGGGGCGCGTGCGGAGACGGGCAGCGAGCGCCGCCCGGCCGCCCTCAAAGCCTCCTTTCTTCTCGCGCTCGGAGACGACCCGCGCGGCCGGGGGGGCGCAGCCCGCAGTCCGCGGCCGGTCCCGTCGCGCCCTCCCGCCGCCGCCGCCCCCGCCCGCGAAGCGGCGACAAAGACGGGCCGCGAGCGCTCGCCTCCGTCGGGGCGGGGCCGCGGGGCGGGGCCAGCGCGCCGCAGCGCTCGCCTTAAAGGGCCGCCCGCTCCTGGCGCCCAGCGGCATGCCCGGCCGGGGGAGGGCCGGGGAGCGGCAGGCGCGCACGCCCGCGCGCCCGCTGGCGCTGTGGCCTGCGTCCCCGCGGCGGCGGCGCGGCGCTCCTGCGCTGTCACGGCCCGCGGGGTCCGGCCCGCGCGCCGGGCGTGTGCGGGGCCCGGTGCCGCGCATTCCGGAGGTCGCCGGCGGCCGCGCCGCGCTGGAGCGGCCTTGGGCTTCCCGATCCGCGGCTCCGGGGCCAGTCGGGCGAGGTGCTGCCCAGGGGGACGGAAAGCAGGCGCGGGCGCGCGCGTGGCATGTGGGCAGGCGTTTGCCTTTGTGTCTCGTGCGCTCCCGCGCAGGTGGGCAGCCCGCGCCGGGACTCTGCCCGTGAGCCCCGGGACCTCGAGCCCCGTCCGCGGTGTCCAAGGGCTCAGCCGCCCTTTGGGACAGACGACAGACCCTTCTTCCCGTGGTAGCTCGGTGCACGCATGGTTTATTTGGGGCCACTAACGGGACTTTCTAAGGACCGCTCTACGGAGCCGGGCCCCTGATACCAGAGTTGGGCGCGTTTTCTTTTCTCAGCCAGCAAAGGAGGAGATTTGGGGACGGTGGTTGTCCTCGGCTGCTAGGCACACACAAGTGTCCCGAGCTCGCCAGCCCCGCATTAGACAACAAAGAGAGGCGTTAGCGGCGGGGGAGGGGCGCGGCCGGGAGGACCGGGCGGGCTGCGGTGAGCGCGGGGGTGGGAGGGTGGCGCTCGCTCTCCTCGCTCAACCCGCGGCCTCCGCCCGCCCCCGGCCTGGCGCGCGCCAATCGCCTCCCCCAGCGATAGTGTCAGTAGCATTGTAGTGTCAGCTCCCGCCGGTGACGTTGCGCCTCCCTCGTCCCCCTCCGGAGCCGTCTGGCTGCAGAGGCTCAGTCAAGAGGCGGGGAGGAGAGGAGGAAAAAGCGCTGAGTGAGGGCGGGCGGGCGGGCGGGAGGGAGGGAGTGGAGGAGCCGGGGAGGGGCTCCTTAAAGAAACGCCGCTGTCGCTCGCCTGCTCGCTTTCCGCTCGGCATTGTGGCCAGCCAGCCGGGCGCTCGGGGGGCACGCGCGGCCGCCGCTCGAGCTCTGCCCCCACCCCACCCGCCAGCAGATCTGGGGTGGGGACCCAGGCGGGGGCTCCTGCAGCCGCTGCCCGGTGCGGACCGCAGGGAGCGACCTGCTCCTCCCGGCGCCGAGAAGGGAGCGACGGAGCCCTCTGCAGCCGGCCGGCCTCCCCGCCCCTGACCACCGCGTCCCGGCTGCCTTTGTGGCCGCAGCTTCTCGCCGCCGAGCCGAGGGCCGGCGGGGGCGCGGCGCGCACGGCCGAGCGATGCCCAGCTCGCTGTTCGCAGACCTGGAGCGCAACGGCAGCGGCGGCGGAGGGGGAGGCGGCGGCGGCGGCGGCGGCGGCGGCGGCGAGACCCTGGATGA